ACATACATACATATATACACAAAGTATATAGAGGCTAGCTGCTGTTTGGTGTCGCCCATATTTCGGTTTATAAGCGGCAATATGCCTCAACATACACTGCTGAACCATAATTCTGCCACTTTCCTGTCGCTGTTGCGCTACTTCCATCGTTGCTCACAAAATTTTACATTAATGAGTTAATAAGTTTGGCCAAAAATGAGGGTATTTTTGGCGATTTTTAGCGCAAAGCAATCAAAAGTGGCTAAAATGAACAGTGAACATAAATTACAGCGAAACTAAGTAAGGTAGATCCGAAATTGCACCGAAACGAATGCAATGCAAGAAAAACGTTAACTTAACCAAAGCTGTAATACCCTCCATTGGTGCATATCTTTTAAAATAAAAAAATCTTTATATTGATTTTGATCGGTCAGTTTGTACGGTAACGACATATATTGGCTCGATAGTGGTCCGATTCTAACAGATTTTGTAGCTTCTTGGCGAGAAAAGGACGAGTGCACAATTTCCTATCGATATCTCAAAAACTGAGTGAATAGTTCGCGTATATACTGACAGAGGGACGGATGGAGCATGAACCAGTATCGGGTGAATGACGTAACACCCAAGTGATCCGGTGAAAATCTATGGAATCTGGAATTTATTACATAGTGATTTCTAAACTCTGTACTACCGATCAATCCGGCAACGACGGGGTCGTGTTTTTTAGCAAAAAGATAAAATTCGTCACAAGTCCTTAGAACCGCAAGATTAAGTACCATATTTTATCCTTTGAAAAACGTTTGCCAAAAATTAAAAAAAATGGTAGAGACCTGTTGTAACGGTTATTGCTACTATAAAGAGAATAAGCTCTACTAATAGCCATTTTTGTCCCCAACTGATCTTCTGATGCCCTAACTCTCGTTCTTTCGAAGACGTTTTCCAAAGGCCACTAGAATACCCAAAAGTCTACATACAGCTTCAGCGGAGCATAAGCTTGTGGTTACAACCGACAATGGTATTTTTTCTTACATGTCGATGGATACTATTTTTGATGATTTTTTTCCTGCCTACTTCATTGACATTTTCGGAGTTTTCATCTTCAAAAGTTATATCCAGAGTTTAGAGAGTTAATATCTGTATTACCTGCTCAGTTTATTGGCTTTTCGGAGTTTTATCGAATGATGGAAGTTTGGATGGTTACAAAAGCTCTATACAAAGTGTGGTTCGAGTTTGAGCCTCGTGCACCATACTTTTTGCTCACATCTTTTGCTTTCTGTGTTTTGATAGAATAATGGGAGCATGAAAAGTTGTAAAAGCTTTCAAGAATATAATCTGAATCGAAGATATGTTGCTCGCCATCCAACCAAAGCCCAAATCTCAGCTCTAGTTTAAATTCTTATCCAGCATAGATGTGATAACAGCTCTATTTTCAGTTAAAAGCGTGTGTTGAAGTTTCGGCTTATATGTTTTAAGATTAAGGTATATCTCCAATGACAGATAATCTCACAATTCTCACTTAGTTCGCTGCTTACTGTCTAAGCTATATTCAAAAACTTTGGCAGTTGTTCACGGGATTAGGTTGAAAGCTATAAGGTTCGGCCTTTAATAAGTCAAGTGCGGATAGAGCACCCTATATTTTTCGTATGGAAAGATGAAAAGTGATGTTTTCAGTTTAATAAGTTGGATCCTACGTATTCGATAGTATGATCGAAATACGCTAACACCAAATTTAACGTTAACAACCGCAAGTAAATTATTATAAACCTGAGAGCAGACGTCACCTATTTTTGGCTTTATGTCTTTCTTTCTACTTGAGTAAGTCATTGTAAAATCAACCGGAAGCTCGGAATATGAAAGACCGTTATTCACGAGTATGTTAGCAAAACAAATATACGCTTGTGCAGCAAATCGGATTTGGGTATAAATATGGCCGTCCAAAACCAGCAAAAAGCAATCAAAATAAAAGTACATATATCTACATATTATATTTTGCAAGAACGCTTCTTCGTCTACTTAAAACTTTAAATTGAGATGTGTAATTATCCAAAAGTAAATTTTAAACTTTTCACCAAAAACCAAGCACTAAGTGGGGCAAGCACAAAAGTGTGTGTAGTGCGTCTAGAGAAATGAGCAACACAGTAGACGCACGGTTGCACAAGTAAGCGAGTAAATGTTACTACTTCATCACACGAGTGAGTGAGTGAGTGTGCAAGCAATCGAGTAAGTAACTGTGTAAGTAAGCTGCCGACACATTGATTTTGTATGTCGCTTTTGCACAGCTGCACAAATTATTTATGAAGAACTTGCTGTCATTTTCAAATCAAGATAAAAAACAAAAAACAAAAACTAATAACTTTTTACTATTTCGTAGAATCGTCTTGGGAGCCCTATGACTCAAGTGCGCTACAAGTTGAAATAAATTATAGTGAAAACTTAAAGTTGACTATATGAGCGTTACGTTTCTTACTCTCTTGACACTCGCTCGCACTCTATGAACCGCTAATGTGAGTAATATTAAGGGGGAAGAGCACGAGCAAAGGAAATGTGAGTAGTTGAGCATGTTGTGCAAGCAATTACTGCTGTCAAAAATGACAGATTCGAAAATTTTAAGTTATCGTGGTAAAATATTTATCATTTGAAATAAGTTTAATCGACAAGTTTGGGATCCAAAACACCTATTCAGCTCAAGAAAAGTTAAGCGGCATACCAAAATGCCTATTCAGCTTAAGATAGTGTCAGCTGAATACCAAAACGCCTATTCAGGTATTCAGCTAAGAAATTGTTAACTAAATACCAAAACGTTTATCAACTTAAGAAAATGTTAGCAGAAGAAATGACTGAATATCAAAACGCCTACTCAGTTTATGAAAACGTGAGCTGAATAATAGCTGAATACCAAAACGCCTATTCAGCTTTAGAAAACGTGAGCTGAATAATAGCTGAATACCAAAACGCCTAAAAACATTAGTTACATATGCCTCTTTAAGCAGAGAAAGAATATCGATTTTACTAAGCAGTTATAGTATAACTCGTAATATGTTATTTTTGGGAGAGAGAGTTGTGACCCGACAAAAAAAGGATCGGGTATAATGCACACATAAGTTTCAAGCAGAGAGCAGAAGGTGAGTTTAGACGATCAAAATAATTGTTAAGATATTTCTTCAGTCATTAATGATATTCCAGATAATTTGGTATCCCACAGAGAACATCAACACTTTTGGCAAGATTTTTTAACATCATGTGACATTTTTGAAAATTTTGAAAAACATATGGTCTCATCATTTTGTCCTACCTACGGTACGACTATGAAAAGCAAAAACTAAAACAAATGGCTGTACGAGTCAGCTGTTGTAGAGTTATAACGGTTTATGCTATCATACATAAGTTGTATACTTCAATGATAGCCACCAGCATAGCTTCTTTGAAGTACTTAGATTGTGAATTTTTAAGGGAGGCGCTTACATTGGCCTAGAGCTTTCAATGCGTGACTACTTGTCGGCAGATCGTTGGTTCAAATTATAAATATATCTTTCAAGCAAACATATCCGATAGAATTTCGCTTTGTTAAGAAAGCTCTTAAGAAAAATGTTGTGTCGGCAGCGTGCAAAAATTCCAGAAAGCTCCAGTTTATCAGAAAACAAAGATAGAAGAAAAGTTAGTCTATCTGGCAGAGATTTTTCGATATTTCCAAAGAGTTTAAAAAAGCTTGTGCTAATGTCGCAACGGCCGAAAAAAAGCCTGAAGAAATTTGGAGATACACTGCCGACTTGAAAGTCCTTGTGTGAATAAACGTCCGGCTCCGTTCCGGGGACTCGAATGTGCAAGTACTAACCGCACGACCTTGCCAAGCAACAGCGCCTTGCTCTATGAGATCTTGAAAAGTTCCAAGAAGATCCGACGTTTTCGAGTCAAATTTTGTTTAGTGATGCGGCCGATTTCTGGCTCAATGGGTATGTTAACAAGCAAAATTTCCGCATTTGGGACGAAGAGCAATTTGAAGAAATTCAAGAGCTACCATTTCATTCAGAAAAAACAACGGTTTCGCGTGGTTTGTGTGTCGGTGGAATTATCGGTCCATATTTATTCAAAAATGACGACGGTGAGAACGTAACCGTCAATGGCGACCGTTATCGCGCCATCGTAACCGACTATTTGATGCCTGAATATGAAGCTCGTGATCTCGGCGACGTTTGATTTCAACAAGACGGCGCCACTTCTCACTTATCGCATCAATCAATTTATTAATTGAGAGAACACTTCGGTGAGCAGATAATTTCACGTTTTGGGACGGTCGATTGGCCACCAAGATCGTATGATATCGCACCGTTAGACTTTTTTCTGTGCTAATATGTAAAGTCCAAAGTCTATGCAGACAATTCCGCTTCGATTCAGGCTTTGGAGCAAAACATCATTCGTTAGTTATGAACCATCTAAGACGTAGCCGCGGCCAATATTGGAAAGAGATAATCTCCAAAAAATAATGACAAAGATCGTTCTTTAGAATGATAAAAAAATTCCGCATTAAATTCGAATTTTCTGTGTTTTTTTTTCTTTAAAAAAGTAAGGAATCTCGAAATAGATTACCCTTTAAAAGGGAACGATAAATTTTCCAATACTATGGTGAATAATTTATGCAAAAACTTTAGACTCAGAGCACAGCCTACTCCAGCAAAGCCCATATAGACTACCTTAATTAACAAAATATTCCAAAGAGAATAATCAAACAGGCATTTACACAATGTGTATAAAAAAACAATAAAGCTTTCTGTGGATACATTTATGCTACTTATGAGAAGGAAAATAATAAAAAAAGGAGGAAAAAAATTTAAAATGAGTTCAAAGGGTTAGAAGAGGGAAGAAGTTAAAGAGCAGATTAGCAATTCAACAAAGGAGAAGTTATCGAGTTATAAAAAAAATACATGCATACTCAATGCTAAATGCTATAGGTATATACATTCATATATATAAAGATCAGCAAACACAACAACTAAATATACACACAGTCCCACACACAAACTTACAGCTTATGACCGCTGGGCCGCCGCTGGTCAGCATAAGCGATGTCTGCGCGGTTGCCGACGTTGAACCCGACGGATGATTTGGCAATGGTGAGGGCATCCTCGCAGCACCGCAGGTGGCACCGGCCGTGGCGGCGGTCAAAGGCACTGGTTGTTGCCCCGGCATGTTGAGGCCTATCACATTAACGCCATTCATGCTGCCTGCACGATTCAAGCATACGAGTACGAATACAATTTACAAAATACAACAATACACGGCCAAGGCGAGCACAATTAAATACCATATATGTAAATATGTATAAATACGCAACAACAACAAATTAAAAATGTACAAAAGCAAAAGAAGAATATGCGTGTAAAACGGTACGTACTTTTCGGTACACATAAATTATTATTTTTTTTCAATAGTACATTTATTTATGTATATATCAGTATCGAAGTATGTTATGTATGTACAGTGGCCAAACACATGTTTTTAAGAATCAGATATGTTATTTTTTGCGGCGGTCCAAGCTTTCTTGGTTCAAATTATCACATAGGATAGGTATTCTGGCATTTCCCCAAGACTACAAAAACACCTCGTAAATACCTGAAATTACAAGTTGACGACCACTGCGAGTGACGTGAATTTGTATTCCATCGGATGAGTCCAACGTTCTTAAGTCTTGTAGTCTAAATATCGACTCGAAGCCTAGACGCGAAAAAGACTTAGTATCGCCTATAACGCACGACTCAGAGCACAGAGAAAGCTCGACTAGCTCGAGGCTTTCATACCTCTCTCCCTATAGTCCCACCCCGTCGAAACAGAACGTTTCGTAGGCCTACCGTTAGATAACTTCGATGACAACACACTTGAACCTTACCCAAGCGGGGATTAGATAATCAATACAACAACAACAACACCGTCTTAAATGCAACAAAACAACATTCAGACAGTTTCCCTGAAGAACTATTCAAGGCCGGCGAAGCTGTTTTGATAGGAAGCTTGTCTAACTACGATTGTAACCTCATTACATTGTGTACTGTCTTTAGGGGGGCTGATCCTATAATCTCCGCCAACTGGTCGATCAGACTGGTGCCCATCGCGTGTAAGATCTTGTAAGCCAATTGCCAACAAACTGATTGGACACTGTCAGTGCGGCTTAAGGCTTGGTGGCGCCACCATTGAGCAAATATTAATCATATTCACAGCTTTTGATAGCCCGATAAGAGGTCATCTAATCGTGGTATAAATTTATACGTTTTTTCGGAATGGCATTAAGCAACACCAGCAGTATCATCAAGGTAGAAACGGACTTTTTCGAACCTTTTTCTACTAGGCAAGGTTTCAGACAAGCCGACTACTTAACTGGTGACTTCTGCTGAAAATGTCTTGAAACCATCCTACTGAAGTAAAACGAACGATAACGAGAGCGTGTATGTAATTCGACAAAATATCAGAAATAGCGCACAAAAACTTTTAGGGATTACGAAATACTTGCGATGAAGATGAAGTAGTAAATAATGCAATAACTAACGGTTAACTAACTAAATTTCACATAGAGCAGAGATAGAAAACTCTTAAAAGGTAATTGGACACTGTACATACATATGTACATACCATATTACGACGACTATATTTCTAGCGTTTATTCGCAAAAAATTAAAAGACAGCAATTCACAGCTAAACACACAACACGTGTACAAATACGAGTATATATGTATTTATGTATATAAAGAATACGGAAAACTCCGGTTAATTAGCTAAATAAAATTCGCCAGAATAAATATAAGCGGCTTCAGTAAACGTGCGGCCTGTATATGTATATGCATATATCTGAGTATGTAGATTTACAAATATGTATATATGTATGTATATTATTAATAAAGACAATTGTGAACATGTGGTTATATAAATTTGTGTGTGCATTTGTATGTATAACATGTGTATGAAGACTATTAAGTAGTTTTGTATATCTATGTTAGGGTGTACGTTATTACTCAAGTTGATCTATTTGTTTGCAAAAGCCTGCCGAAGTTTCAGTTCTTGCCTTAAAACAAAGGATACAAAGTAAAGAAACTCTTTATTTTCAATCTAAATCATTTTACTTTTGTCATATGCGCGTCGGAGTTTTGGTTCTATAGTAATACATTAATTATCTCCAAAGCAAATAAATCTACAATTGTAAGAAGCTAATATTCTATTACAAAATTTCTCGCTCTACAAAAAATATCTTAATGATATTTTTATAAAAGTTTTCCTTTAAAAGTTAAACGCAGTAAAAGTTATGCATTAAATGTACTGTGTTCATACAGTACACCATGACGTATGAGCAACTTGTATGAATGCACAGGTCATTTGAGGTATAACTTTTAAAGCAGTGGTTGTATGAGAAAATTATTCTAACCTTTTTTTGTAGAGCGGGCAATTTAGTATTAGAATATCACTTTTTCAAACTTGTAGATTTACTTGCTTATTGCAAAACAGCTTCTAGTGGCGCCATCTGTCTGAAGTTGTTATCCCTCAATTGTGTATTCTTCAGTGTTGTATAAAAAACAGCTGAGATATCGCACTACATGTGACATTACATTTGTAGTGTCGGTCGGAAAATGAGCATCGAACAAAGAGCCAACATCAAGTTTTGTTTAAAACTTGGTAAAACTTTTACCAAAACTCATCAAATGATGAAACAAGTTTATGGCGATGATTGTCTATCCCGTAGCCGTATTCACGAGTGGTTTAAACGTTTTCAAGAGGGACGGGAGGACTTGGAAGACGACGAACGTTCGGGCCGGCCAAAAGATGTTGTGAATGAAAAAAACGGAAATTGTGCGTGAATTCATTACAAAAGAGCCGAAATCTTCGCTTAAATATATGGAATCGGAATTATCAATATCCGCAGGGTCGATTTATCGTATTTTGACAGAAAATTTGGGCCTCAGAAAGGTTTGTGCTCGATTTGTCGCGCACACTTTGAAACAACACGAAAAAGACCTCAGAATTCAACATTCAAGAGGCATCATTAAAGAGGCCAAAAAGGACCCAAACTTTTTGTATTCGCCTGATATGGCAACCTGCGATTTTTATTTGTTCGGAAAACAACATTTGGCCATGAAAGGAAACCGCTACGTTGATGCCATCCAAAAGGCGACGACCGCCATCCTCAACGCTATACCGACAAATGACCTAAAAAAGTCATTCGATAACCTTCTTGAACGTGCAAACCGTTGTATTCAGGCGGGAGTAGACTATTTTAAGGCGACCAATAAATTTTTCAAAAAAAAAAAAAAAAAAATAATATTCGTTTTTTAATAAAAGTCCTAAAACTTTTGAATTGCACTTGGTAGTATAAAAATGTATAAAAAGATGTTTATTTTGATGTTGTTCGGTCAGTTTGTATGTATGCTACAGTCTTCTGATCTGAAAAATACCCTCAGATCTTGTAGCGTTGTCTTAGCTCGTCAAACGAAAGAGTTTTTCTTACAAGAATTTTCGATCTGAACAGCTTCTGCGAAAAGTGTAGCGATGCCTTGGATAATAATCTACGCCAATTTTTTTGCAGATACCTTGACAAATAAAAGAGTTTTGCATACTGAGACTTGAGTTTAATAGGTCAGATGTATGGCTGCTATATAGTACAGTGGTCCAATATCGGCAGTTCTGATAAATGGGCAGCTTCTTGGAGAGATGAGAGCGCTACTGAGGAACCAGTTTGCGTATATACAGACGAACGCGGCAAACTTAATATACCTTGTTTAAAGTATAAAAATCCACTTGGTATAAAACGTACACCCTAATGTACATATATAGATATATGTATGTAATATATAAGCTCAAATGTGGACATGTAGATGCATAACTATGTGATGTGAGCACAAGGAAGTCGTTTTTATAAGCATATATGTTATGTATATATTGTATTATGTAAGTATATATATATATATAAGCTTATATATGTATATGTGTATGAACATTTGCACACTAGTATGTATGTACATATGTATATGTCGTGGAATGTATGCAAATATGTGTGCGCGTTTATGTTGTTACAAGATTATCTGCCTTACACACACACACACAACCAAACCGTTACACTAAACGATACACAGGAAAATGGAAAATCTTAAGCTACCAGCTCAATAATGTCGCACTCGTGTCGTGTCGCGGCAGCTTAACAGTTACAAATTGACATGACATAAAGCCCGCTGATTAACTGTATAAACCGTATAAACTGCATAGGTAAACATACACACAAATACAACGAGGCGCATCTGAATGCCGTTAGGTTAGCCCGAAGGCAAATACACGAAATTGATACCCAAAAATAAATTTATTTTAATTAAATTTACCGATTTTGGCACCACCGAAAGGATCCTTGAACATCGTGCTGGCTGTTGCCGGCGTCGTCGTCGCAACGCCATGATGCAGGCCGGTGGCGCTCAACAAATGCCCAGCGTGTCCGCCATGGTGACCATGTGGCAGTGAAGTTGTCTGTTTAATGGCGTTCGCACGGCCACGTGTCGCTGGTCCTTGTTCACGTTTGCGACGCGGCTGTTCGACGGGTAGCACACGCCGGCGTTTCTTTGGCAGTTTCGAACGTGCCTGGAAAGTAAACGAGAGGCAGAGAGTGTGAGCGGAAAAAAAACACAAATCGTTTGGAATTAAAAATAGTGTATATATATATATATGTGTGTGTGTAGTCAAAGGCATAATCAATAAAAGGGTAATGTTTGCATAAAGAGCGCTTTATATGCGTTGCCTCTTTTATATGGGCGTGCTTCAAAGCTATATGCTGGTAATTGAAGTGAAAGTTTATAGTCTGTGCTTACATATTCTGTGTGAACTTCCTATTCTGTGTGAACTTATTAATTTCGAAGAAATTGTAAATTGAATTAAACGAGAAAAAGTGTTTATAATTTAGACTTGGCAGAGTTGACGAGAGACTTTGGGTACGAGCAACTTTACTTGAACTTATGGCCACAAATTTCAATAAATTCGCTTATATATAGGTTATGTTAACTTCGAGCGAGGAATACGATGAATATGGATATCAATAATTATGGTTGAGCTCTATTTAAAGAGCAACTATGAACACTTCTAGAAAAAAAATCATGAGCTTGATACACCATACACAGTTAGTATCGAATGCAGATCGTACACTAGCTGCCGCCGTTGGTCTAGAAATAAGCTGTTACGAAATGCTACTCAAAATTCGAGATCAAACTCAAGCCAACATACATTTCTTCTTCAGTTGGTTCAACCGAGTTTACTGCGCAAGAGAAGAAGAAGAAATTAGAAAATTTTCTTTAAGCGGAAGCTGTCAAAAGACGGGAATGGCCTCGGATATCTTGCCAGTTATAAGCTTCCGTTCAAAACATCTTGCTTGTCCTTAAAGAATACATCAATTGATATTTGTTTGACGACGGAACCGATGGCAAAGTTTACTAAGTCCAAAGATATACTAGTAGGGAAACCCCTTTATATCTGACTTTGATAACCAATTATTTAGACAGTAGTATTTCATTTGGAGAACCTCGACGTGCTTAAAATTTCAAGTTCAAGCTGAACTCGGCTACTATATAATAAACACTCAAACACTGAAAACAGGTAGCAAAACCCATAACCTAATAGCTTTTTCTGTCTTTAATTAAAAATTCTTACATGATCCGATTGATTATAGAAATGTAATTTAGAATGCGAACTATTGCTTCGGCAGTTGGCGGCGGTTCACCTTTAGGAAATTGGTTCAGTGATGCTTTCGATGAAGACTATAGGCAATATTGTCTGGTTGAAGAACAATTCGATATGCCTCTTTTGTGGAAGCATGTATACCTAGTTAGGTAAATCATGATTAGATGAGCTCAAGCGGGATCCTGGTTATTACGCTGGTCGCAGCGACCATACCTGTGTTAAATAGTTTAAAATCGGCCTGCCAATTGGTCTGTTGGGTAAGGTTAGAATATCAGGCTGATATTCTTGAAACCAAGAATGATGCTCAGAAATTCTAAATATGGATTAAAAAGGCTGTTGCATATCAATAAAACGCCTTGACCCTGCCAAAAATTTTTGAGGCGACTAACATCAATTCCAGCCAATTCGTTTCTTCGCAGAAGGTGCTTCAACCTAAGCTAGTGATAGCTTGACGACGGATAAGAAAGTGTCGGTTTCTACGTCAGCTTGCTCCATGCAGCTTTGACAATTCGCGTCTTTTTAAATTTTAACACTCAACACATGAGTAGCAATGGGATAATGTCCAGTATGAACACTCATCAATTGTCGACTCGTTCCCAAACTGATGAGATTGAGGTAAGGGTGCTCTTTTTGCGATCTCATCAACTTTGGAGTATCCAGCGATTTCGCTATGAATAGACAACCAACCAGTCTGATTACAAAGTATATTGATGCTATTGCTAATAAGGTCAGACACTGATTGACTAACCTCGATGTATTAGCGAGATATCGGATTGAATGCTGCTACCGTACTTGGACTGTTAGTCTCTTTGTTTTCTCTTTTATTGTCACCTTGGACCTAGTCGCGGACATATAGTCAATATATAGAGATTTATGATTAGACGCTTAATAAATCGAGCAAGTGTGATGGATATCTGTTTTGAATTCCCTATATAGATATGTATGTACGTTGTATAGGTAAACTATGTTTTGTCAAGTCTACTTTCCGATAGGCATAGAAAAAAAGGTATTAAATGGTCGGAGGAAGAATTCGAGAATTCGAACCTCAAAAATTCAATTTCAATATATTAATTATAATTTTTTATGTCTAATAAATTTACCTGCGTGTGTGAGTAAAACATGGAAAAGTTGCTAACGATGACAGGTACCGGCAGTGCTATCGTCAGTACGCCAGCAAGAGCACAAAGAGCGCCTACAAACATACCCGGATAAGTTTTCGGCGCTACATCGCCATAACCGACAGTGGTCATAGTGACTATGGCCCACCAGAGACCAAGTGGAATGCTTTTAAACTGATTTTCAGGGTTGTCCTAAAATGAAATGGAAGAAAGCAAGCCAACAGTCGTTACATAACTCCGGAAAAATTATATAGACTTAATATAGATTAAAGGCCCTTTACCTGCAACTTCTCCGCGTAGTACGCCAAACTTGCGAAAAAGACAATGCCGAGCACTAGGAAGAAGACCAGCAACGTCAGCTCTTTCGCTGAGGCCTTGAATGTGTGTATGAGAATGCGAAGACCTGGCGAATGTCGCGTCAGCTTGAAGAGACGCATAATGCGTACTATCGAGAAAGCCTCTAGTAGCCCGGTATACTCGCCCATGCGTTGCATGACGTCCGTGTAGAAGCTTAGAGTGGCGGTAAAGTCAATTATATTAACCGGTGATTTGATGAACTGCCAAATATTCGGCGAAACCTGTGTTAAAATATTAAATCTTGTTGGTAAAAAGTATAGTTTTACCAAAAGTCTCGCACTCACAATAAGCCTGATGAGCACCTCGATGAAGAACCACACGTTGCACACCAACTCTACGTAGAAGAAAGCTTCGTGCGGCTGTCCGTACGACTCATGCCAGCCATGCCCGTGATGATCGACACCGCCGAGTAATTTCTGTTGGATCAAGTCCTTCACGTTGCGTATGGAACGTTTCAGGCGATTGCGATTTGAGAGGCCGCCGCCGCCGGCGCCCTTCAGCGAGAATGTGGCTATCGACTGACTGGTGTTGGTATTACCCGGCGCTGTATAGTTTGTAACTTTAAAGGTGTGCGCCAGCGTATAGTTAATGCCGCTGGCACTTGAAACATTCATACCGTAGTTGTTTCCGTGCACCGGCGGTGCCATATTGCCCACAGCACCGCTACGTGTACCCGGTGCCGCCGTCACTGTGGTGGCTATGTGTGCGCTCGGCGGCACCGGTGGCATATTATGCTGATGAGGTATACTCGGTATGTGCACGGCTGGCGTGTGCGGTACAGCCGACGGACCTGGTCCATGTTCGGTGTGAGTGGCGGGAAAGTCCACACGAAAACCCGGATGGGTCTTCAAGCAGAACGATATCACAGAAACGAATATAAAGAAAACCGACATACTAGCAACGATCTGTGGGCGAAGAGGTGTAACGGTTTAACATAGGTTTAAAAATAATTTGCCTCGCGCTTACTTTAGCACCCGTCGAACTGGATGGTTCATCAAAGAGCGCCCACACCTTCGGCTTAATGCGTTGCCAACAGCTAAGTCGTCCATTAATAAGTGCTTCTTCGAAACCAAATAGACGTGCAATTTGTTCTTCAGAGGGTTTTTCATTTTCAATATCTAATTTATCTAAAATGGCTAAAGTATTCTAAAAGAGAAAAAACGAAGTCCGACTAAAACTACTGTTTTGTGTATTTATTGCGGTGTGTCTGCGCTTTTACCTGTGTGTCACGGTGTATGCTGTAGGTGGACCAACAGCATGGTTCTACTTGGTTCGAATCGAGTCCCCAAAACTCTAGTTCCTCTTCGAATAGTGGTCCACAGACGTCTGTGGGATAGTGTAATTTACCGGTTCTGAAAGTAAAGTGATTTTAAAGATAGATAAGTAAACTTGGATGGAAAAGAAAGAAAAAAGGTGAGTGTTGATGAAAGAGAACAAAGACATGACTTAGTATACATTTCGAATGTTAGGGAATGTAGTCATCTATTAGACCGATGGATTGTAAGAAACTACTGATTTGACTTTCAAACTAACCTTTCTGTTGAAAATATTTATGAATTATCTCTCGCAGATAAGTCTTAAGAACTGAGAAATTTGTTCGGATATCACTAGCAGATTTATTTGAACTTAGATAATAGCGGTTTACGCTATATTAAGCCTCGGTGGTCCTAACTTTCCAATCACATTATCTATGCATAGAATATGCCAAAGGTGAGACCACGAAATCCACAAAAAATTACAGTCATTTTTGCGGGGTATATCTTGTACGTCTCGAACTATAAGAAATCAATTATTTAAAACCACAAGTCTTTTAAGACATCGAACTACCATTAAAGCGTCAACTAGCTAAATTTCAAGTATTAAAAAGTTCGAAAAAGACGTGTAACCCAAAAATTAAGTCAAAGCACAAAAATCAGCTCAATTTACTACACGTCAAGGACACGAAATAACTCGGTAGTAAAATGAAGGCGTTTAGTACAATGGTAGAAAAATGAATTAAAATACAGATACAAATTAATCCAATATTTTAGGGCGATTTATTTCATATAGTAACTAGTTACAAACTGGTTGTTATGTAACTAGCTGTTCAAAGAGACTACTTTAAAAAAAACTCAGCAAAGGGAATTTCACTTGCACTTTTAAAAACATTTCGGGTCAGTTCGTAACTAGTCCAAAAATAATCAAATTGTAAGCAGTCGTTATGTTAAAGCATCTTTAAATCTACTTCACATATCCAAATAAATTTATTCGAATGTTCGTATCATCCACGCAGTCACACACATGTAAGTTTATAATATAATATGTGCGTGGCTGTAATGCCAAACAAGGATATAAATAAAATTAATAATTCCCGTTGTGTACGCGACAGGCATGATAAAGACATTGATGTACAGCAGGTGGTTGCGGCTTTGCGATCTAATTTACCGAACAAAGGTTTTTTTAAGCAACGAAAACAAAAAATCGTAAATAAAGATGTGCGTGGATAAGCTCATGCATGTATAAGAGTAAGTAAATTAAGATGAGAACGAGAGTAGGAGGAAGGTAGCAATGGGAGCGCACTGGCGTTTTAAGAAAATGCTTAAAAGCGGTAATCCGCTTTACTAAAGGGTGATGAAATTATATTATTATTACCATAGAGGAAATTGTCTACCCTGTAGACGGAAAACTAGAGACAAGATAAAAAAAAGCGAAGTTAGAAGAAGCGTGGAAGTATTTACTTATATCTATATTATAAGTAGAGCTAACCAACACCTCTGCTGTGGTATAGATATCCATATAATACATGTATATGCCGCTAAGCATGTGTTTATTGCTTACAACAAAAAATGACTATAATGAAAGAAAAAGTCGTGTGAAGTCAGCAGTCTAAGAATGCGTGGCACTAAATACAAAAATGCATAGAAAATTTGGCTTCAGATTGTTTGAAGAGCGGTTATAATTACTCTTACTTATGGAAATATGCGACTCATGAAATGCAAGAGTTTTTTTTAACGTCAAAATTTAAAACTGCTCAGCAACAGACAAAAAATGTAACAGCTAAAATTTTAAATGTTTTCCACACACTTGTTTGAAAAACCACAACAAATACATGTGTGCATAGATTTACACATAAATTCATTGCAATTATTAAATTTTCTATCGAAATGTATATTTAAAAATGTTAGAAGCCCTGACGCAGCGAAAGCATCAAATTTTATTGTACTTTCCGCAGGCTGTGGCATCGAAGAGTGAAAAGAAATGTTGAGATGCATAATAGGTAACAAACACTATGAAAATTGAAAATTTATGAAATTTTTTTTTTCAAATTTATGGAATTAATTTGCAAAATCTCGGTACTCAAGAACAAAAAAATCCAAACCTTCGATATCTCTCGTCTAGCTTCGATCTAATATATCATTCTCTGCTAAGTAATCTAAACTTTTTTCAAACATGACTAATTTTAAGGTGTTCCGGAATTCTAGTTAGTATACTATGAAATTTATAACAATTGGGTAACTCTAAGACAACGTTTTCGCAGAAATTAATATATTATATTTATTTCTCTAAAATATTCAATGGTATTGAAATTATTAATAAGGGAAAGATATATATAAATTTCTGAAGTTTGTCTAGCCCAAAACCCATTGCAACGGGCGAAAACTCATTTCAGCAGTTAAAGGCTTACTATCAGTGAGAAGACATCTACTTTACAGCGATATTTTGGCTACCTCACTTAGACCGATTAACTCAATTCAGATCCGAAAATTAATCAACTAAATACAAAACTGAAATATTACAGATCTGAAAATCATGAATACCTTATGTAACAGCGTTTGTAAAACTTTTAAAAACTCGGATAGACCCAAAACAACGTGACCAAAGATCAGCATCACGGTGCACAAACAATTTTCTTCGAATTTGCTTCAGATAGTATTTTAGCTTATGGAGTAAGCATGATCAATGAGATAACATTTAGTAGTTCAATCTGCACAATATATTCTGAGATGGTATCGCTGCCTGGGATAACAAGCTTTGATAAATTTCGTGCTGATAACTTGTCAAATAAAAAAGGTTTTTATACAAAAACTACATTTCGATTGATCATTTTATACGGCAGCTATAGCTACAGCGGTCCGTTAACAGAGATTCCGACGCATGTCAAATTTCGGATGGGTGTTACAAACTTCGTGGCCAACTTAATATACGCTATTTAAAATAAATAAAGCAAAGTAGAGGCTGCTAAGAAAAAACTGCTTAAACACAGACGTAAATTTTAAAAGCATTTCTTTTTAGTGAGAAATCGTACTTGCACTAAATATTTTTAATTTTCTGAAACACTTAATTTGTTGTAACTGCACTTATGAACCAGCTTTCGTGACGTTTCTAAACTTATTCCTACTTTTGATATTTTCTTTAATTCCTCTTTTGTAAGGGACCAAGTGTTTTGTGTTTAAAGTTATTTATCACACTGCCACCAACCTATCCCAACATACAATAGTACCTCAAAAACATTCAAGAGGAATTTCAACATTCATTTAGTAATTGTAGTCAAAAGATTACTAAATTTAATACAGATCACAACATGGAAAGATGAGAGAGCGCGCTAATAATAATTCAAGCGATGATTGATAAACTTAGTTTAAATATTCAAATTTAAAAATACGTAAAGTAGAGAAAGTAATATATGGATATAAATACAAACAGCAATTATAAGACTTGGGATTTCACAATAGTGCCTAAAGTTACTAACATAAGTATACCTAACTAATGACTAGTTTTGCTGTGAAAAGAAATGTAAACGCTTCTGCAATGACACATACAATTTAGTTAGGTGAATCCCCATAGCCGAAATAAATATTTTTATACGATGAAAATTGATAGCTCGTCGCATTTTTAAATATTTAGGGTATTACCTTATAAATGTAATGCACTTCTATCTTATGTGCTTTTCATAAAAACTCATTAGAGGTGGTTGAAAAAGATGAGCATGCAATATATATATTGTACTTACTTTCAATAGCTATATAATTAGTTTTACGAGTAATTACAAAGATATGGTTCTTCCCATATCTACCCACGTAAGTAATGTCAGATATTCAAATTGAAAAATTAGGTCCTCACTTGGCAAACAATTAAAGATATCAAATAAGAAATCATATCGAATAGCAAAAGTACTAAACTTTGTGATTATTGCTGTTGTTTTGAAAGACTTCAATGAGTTCGACTTAAGATTTCTTTTTGAAAAGCGTACAAAAAGTTGGTGTGTCTATCCACGAAAAAAAATATAGCGCTGATATGAAACGATGTACGTAGCGTCATTATTTTGAATAATCTTGAAACTTTATAAATATGAACGGAAAGTTTTATAATGGATCGTTAGACAAACTTGACAAGTACAATAGAGTTTATGTTAACAGCAAAGAGTACGATATATAAGAGGGAAAAGACTGTCGAATCGATAGCAATCTTCCAAAACTATTTGGAAAATGTGCTGAGATGTAAAACCAACTTGATTTCTATTAGCATATTGAAGTAACCCACTTTCCTAAAAATAAATATAAGAACCCGAAGCAAAGTCCACATAGTGAAAATATGCAATACAGAATATTTTATGGTACAAAGCTGACTAGTTCAGCTTATCCTCAAGATTTAACACAAAGCGTCTATCTTCTGCTGTTGTAAATGAGAAATGAGCTTGGTGGTACGAGATTTCTATTGAGAACAATTAGATTATGAGGTTAATTTCAAAATTTAGTGAGCTGGAAGGCCTTGAGATGAGCTAATGCTTGAAAGACTTAAGTCTATTGGGATTTTTGTTTAAAAGTTATTTAGAAGGTTTTAAAGAGTTCGACAAAACTCTTTTAGTATATGATTCATAACTCTGTGATATGAGATTGAGCAAATACCACAATTTCCGGGACTGGGAAATTGCATTTAATGTAAAAAGCTAATTATTGTTAGTTTACAGTTTACAATGAAATTCAGAAGTAAAAATGTATGCAAATGAAGTGACGTGCCGGATCTCCGTGGTAAAAAACATGGATTGAATAAAATTTATATTACAAAAAAATTGTTCCCACATTTTTTCTGTTTTTTAAACATAGCAATTTATGGAAGCACCTCGTATTATGATATATAAGTTTTTGGTGCTATTAAAATGCTGCCTGTCAAGCTAATAGATTGATCACAGCTTCACTTATTGTTGACAGCAGAGCAATCACCAGACAGACAACGTATACATACATATGAAATATATATACATATGTATACATTATATAAATATAAATATATACATACAAGCAGCAGCTGACGTCAGAGACTTCAGCAGTCAATCAACTAATGAACAAAATGTTACGGTAATAAATTAAACAGACTTGAGCAAAAATCTAAAATTAACCGCAAATAAATTATACTTTGCAGACAACTTTACTTAATTACTTACAATATATGAAAAACAAAAAAACAACAAAAACAAAACGGTTAACAAGTCAATAGAGTTTGGTATGTGTGCAAAACCGGATTTCCGCCATAAATTGTGTAATTTTAGAGGAATACAAAGAATGATTTGTGGTGCACTAATGAGAGTGAATATGTTACTAAAAATAAATATATGTATATATATGCAAATTGGGGCGTTTAAAAATATTCGAAATACTCGAAAACCGATTATTGAAACATCCGGTTTGTAGGTATTCGTACGAATACTAGCCGAATAGTAGTATTCGAATAGTCGTAGCAATGTGACTATTTGAGTAATTGTTCAACTGCGACTATTCGAATAGTTGCTCTGCTGCGAGTATGAGAATACCATAAATGAAAATTGTTAGAAATCCAGGCAGCCTTTGATTTTTGCCATTTCTTTGTTCTTTTTTTTTTTTGAATGAGCTCTTACTATTCGGACTATGGACAACGCACGGTTAGCCGAATAGTCGAAAATGAGCGGTTATGGACGATAACATACGACTCTCCGGATTGTGCAAACCGAATATTATTATTCGAAAAATGCCCTATCCGGTTACTCCGGTTAGTCGATTAGTCGGATTTCAAAAGCTCTAATGCATATATATGGATATATGTATATTTATTATATATTAGGCTGAGCCAAAAGCTAACTCAACGAATTCATGGAAGCCAAAAAAAAAAATCGCTAGAAATCCAGAGAAAAAAATTTTCCTACAAGGCAAAATTTTTTGGTCATTTGGAAAGGTGTCAAAGAGCAGTCAAAATCGCACACATTAATAGCTCGTAAGAAATCTATTTTTATAAAAAATGCCATAACTTTTGAAGCACTTAGCATTAAATGTTTTACTTCGTGGATTTTCGTGGAGCAAAAAATTTCCCAAACAAATTTACCTTAAAGCAATTTTTATTTTCAATCCAAGAATTTGTTGAAATAAAAGTTGAAGCACAAATTTTGTACGTGCTATTTAAATAGAAAACTTTGAACGCTCACCGACACCTTTAAAAATTAAGCTAAAAATTCTGCTTTGAAGTTTTTTTTTTTTATACACTGAACAGGATATATAATATTAAGTTTGCCACGAACTTTGTATTTCTCAGAAAGAAACGTCGGATATCTTATAAAATGTATATACAAAAAGGTCAACATGGCGAGCTGAGTCGATTTAGCCATATCCACCTGTCTGCATAGACGCGAAATAGTCCCTGAAGTTTAGAGATAGCACTCTGAAATTTTGTAAACTTCGTTTTCTTCACAAGCAGCTACTTGTTTGTCGGAACCGCCGATATCGGACCACTATAGGATATAGCTGCCATACAAACTGATCGAATCAAATCCAGATCTCGTGAGAAATTTTTTTTTTTTTTTTGAAGAGATATCTTCTCGCAATTTGGCACAGATAATTATGTAAAGCAACCACGCAATGTCCGAAGAAATTTTTCAGATCGGATTGCTATAGCATATAGCTGCCATACAAGCTGACCGCTCAAAATCAAGTTCTTGTATGGAAACTTGTTATTTGTGAAGGGTATACAGCTGCGATACAACCAAAATTTAAAGTTTTTCTTGTTTGCTTTGCATATAGGTTTATTTTGAACCCATAAATTCGTTATTAGTTGTATATTTGGGTTTTTTTTTGCTCAACCTAATATATATGTTTGAAGATAATATATATGTTTCTTAAGCACAGCGCTCACCTGTAGTAGTTGAGTATTTGCGTGAATACACCCGGATGGCGATCAAAGAAATACTCATTCAACACCGGATCATAGTTGGCCAGCGCCTCAGTGAGGCGGGAAAGACGTGTGGCGGGTATTTTCTTCAATGTTGCCTTATATGTTTCATATCTGAAAGCAAAAAATTTAGAGAAATAAATTAAATATGAAATAAAAAGCGAGCGGAGAGAGGCAAAAAGAGAATAAGAAGTGAGATTTTTTATATGTATGTATATATGAAATCATGGTATAAGTCTGTAAGTACATAAGTAATATTGTGTATGCTTTTGAATAATTAATTTGAAATGCCACAAGAAATGACATTATAAGGCAAATAAATACAAATTCACGCAAATACATACATGCTTACATATACTCGTATAAGGAGCACATTTGTGGTCTGCAACGTCACAGTCGGCGGTGGCTGGTAGTAAGGACATTTTATTTTGTTTTTGCCTTTTGAAAAAGCCTTGACACATAATTTCATTAGAAGCCAAGTGTTTGAATAGTTTGTCCTACACATACACATACACATAAAAACACTTTCACGTATACTCACATACATATGCAAATTTCAGTAAGCGATATGTCGTGATACTTAGCAGCTGCGTCCTTGCGGCATATGGCGCTAATGCATTTGGAGCATGAACATTGATAGGCAATAAGGTATATAGTAACTATGCATGTATATATGTACGTACATATGTATGCATATTTTTTATGTCTTCATATACACAGCAGTCATCAACTTAATTTAAGCAATTTAAATATTTCCCAAAAACACAAAATCAACTGATTTTCGATAGTTTATATAAATACATATATCTACAATATTTATATGGACTTTCAGCTGATATTATTATATCCTAAACAGGGTATTTTAAGCTTGCGAAATGTTTGTAACACCCAAAAGGAAACCTCGACGAGATGAGACTCTGTAAAATATATTTAACATACATATAATATAAAGGATCAGTGTGACGAACTGAATCGATTTAACCATGTCCGTTCGTATATCCATCCGTCCGTCTGTCTTTTTTATATATGCAAACTAGTCAGTCAGTTTTTAAGATATCTATCTGAAATTTCACCCATATCACTTCCTCTCCAAAAAGCTACTAATTTGTTGCAAACTGCCGATATTGAACAATTATAACATATAGCTGCCAAACAAACTGACCGATCAAAATCAAGTCTTTGTATAGAAAACTTTGAAAAGCTACCTTCATAAAAATTGGCATGACTTCTCAGATAATAGAAAATGCTACAATCTGTAAATATAGTGTTTAGATCAGACCACTAAATTATACAACTTTACCTATTAAAATTAAGTCTCTCTTTGAGATTTCTTCAAATATTCAACAGTTCTGTCATTAACATACCTTGGTAACCCGTTTTTCACTATAAATTGATAAGAGCCTGCTGAAAGCTATTTCTATAAGCCTGAATCCGCAAAAGACTGAGCGTGTAGGAGCGATTCTTTGACAATGCATATTTAACGAGATCAAATCGCAGCAAAGGTTGATCTGAATTGAGGCTGTGGACGTCCTCTTGCTGAAACTAGAAATACAGTCAAGGTCATGTGTCCCATTTCCACTCATGACAATTCGTTTGGTTTGCTGCTAAAGCGCCTATTGGCTAATGAAGTCACTAAACTGTTTCTATCTCTCTTTTCTCTTTCTATTCTTCTCTATATTTATCCCTCTTAATTTTTCTGTCTCTGTTTATCTCTATTTCTCTCGCATTTTTTCCCTCTGTAGCCCTGAAAGCGTATTGGCTTCTTTAAAATGTATCTCTCTCTCCCTCTCTCCTTCTGATAACACACTGCATTCTTAGCGATCAAGTGCAACTTTTACGTCTTCATTTTTCCACAGTAGTATATTGAAGGCTACAGCAGAAAAATAAAAATCAAAAATATCTCCAAAACATGTATTTAAAGATAAGTTATGATTACAACACTACAAGTATTTAATTTTTCGTTTTGCTGTGCGACACAAAACCCAAAATATTGCAGAATTTTTTCTCCAAAATCATTGACTGCGTAAATTTACTTTTTTTCGGCAAGAGAGATAAACGCTTCCAACTAAACACAAATAAATCTTTCACTATTCTGACCTCTACGCTGCCGCCCACTTAACCCGCTTAAATTGCACCGCATTTTTTTTCAACATTGCAGCTTACACTGACCCAAAGCTGCTGCTGCTGATACTGTCAAGTGCATCACCAATGCTATGCCACATAGGGTATACACATATAAGATTTATAGTGCTTATATATATATAAATATATATATATAGAGTGGTTCAATATGGCATGCTCGTACATATGTATGAAGACACTTTAAGAGACCGATAAAAATAAAATAATAGTAATAAAAAGTGAGGTTAAGTATTTAAGATGTGAAACACTGCTAGAGACACTCGAATGGACTTGTTTCTATTTTACGATAGAAAAAAAATTGATTCAAGATATCAAACTTTTTATTACTGGAACTCTTTTGACTCCAAATATGTATTATTCGTGTTAGCAAAACAATTTTTTCAAACTTTCGAGAGTAACCAAAATACTAATTTGTAAGTAGAGAAATCAGTTGCCTTTCAGGCAAGTGTTGGCGAAGACTGGACAGAACCGAGAGCTTAGTCTTAGACTACAAAGCTATGACGGTAATTAGTGAAAATGTAGATGATGATGCGATGTCCTCTCCAAATATAACTATAACTAGTGTTTTCTAACTCTTTAACCCTCTGGAGTACACCTTTAAAGGTTACTTTCACCTTTTTTCGAAAAACTCCTAAAAAAGCAGTTTTATATGTTAATTTATTAATACGTACTCTTACATATAAATTAATATTAGATATTCCGTGCTGCAGAGATCTCATCAGCTTTTGGCTTCCACATATTTTCTCTGAATATGATCAACACTTTCATCTTATCTATATAATTTGCTGAACTGTTCATCTTTAAGGGCATAAGTTATCCTAAAAATATTTGATACTACACCATTTAAGCTGCCTGAACCATATAAAATATTATTTTTTCATCATCAGTCACAACCCTTACTTTTTGTTGCATTCATGTAGCATTTCTGAGATTCTGCGAGCTCTTCTTGTATTTTGGCAATACTCTTTATCAAGTAATGCTTTTAGTTCCTCATCTTCAAACTGTTAATCGTCCTAGAAACTCTTCATCTTCCAAGCCAGAATCACCACTTTTAAATCATGCAAACCACTTTCGGCACATTTGCTTAGTTAGCGCATGTTCGCCATAAACTTCCAACAAAATACGAAGGCTTTCGGCTGAAGTTTACTCCATACTAAAGTAATGATGAAGAAGTCATTGCGAAAAAACATTGTTTTTTAGGCACAAAGTTTGACATATTTGAAAGAAAAAAAAATTATTGTTTCTCACGCATCAAATGCCACCAGTCATTGGCAAACTGGAGGACTTGTAAATAGACCAGCTTTAAAATAAAAAAGCATTGAAATCGTACATAGTTGATCTAAACAACCAAGTCAACGAAAGTCCTCAATCACTTCTATATACAATGACTTAACTTAACTACTGCAAAATTATAATTTTTCCATACATAATCTGGTACTATATTCTGCAAATAGCCCTCGAGAAAAATGTCGTTCAATGTTATTTTTTATGGCTAGCGTATTGCTACTGACCATATTATTATATAATATAATATGTTTCTTAAATTAAATATTTTCCCAATAATTATGTACAGTTTACGGTTGGATTTTCATATATTATAATTCGTATATCGAATCATTTAAGCATGCTTAGTCCTAACCAAAAAAAAAAAATTTTTCAGCTAAGCTAAACTGCAACGAATTTTAGTTTGCCTCAATGGATAGGACTACTAAAATACTAAAATTCTGTCTTTACATAAATGCATTACACACACTTAAGTACAGTACATATATAAATATACATTATATACAAGCTCAGCTAACCAAATTTCCGGCAAACACAACTTAACGGTAAATGTCAGCTAACATAAACTTCAATAGAACAGACATGTCAAAGCTTTTTCCTCCAACTAAAACTGCAAATTTTATTAAAACAACAACAACAACAGTGAAATATATGCGAATCTAAACGCAAATCGTGTTCAAAATAGCAATATGCAATCAACCGTAGCGCCAGTATCAGCAAACCACAGATGAGCAGAGAAAGCACATAAGGCCAAACAGACACACACGCACACACACACATGTACACATATGTATGCAAACAAGTAATTTAATTTTGAACTACGCTTGTCACATTTTCAACACAATATGATGGAATTTGTGGTTAGACTACATAAAATTTCGATTTCTCAATGATTTATGCAGCAGTCGAGTCACTTTAAAATGCACACAGATGCGCGGCGCTAGTTGGGTGGGTCATGGCGTATACGTAATCAAGTAACTTACAGCACAATAAAGTATGCGCACACTAAATTATTGATAAGTAATAATTGAAAGCGATAAATAAATGGAACACCTGGCATTTTGATAAATGAGTATGTGTGTGGATGTTTGTATAAATATGTATATTTATATATGTATGGCTGTATTGTAATGCATAATGCAACGATTTAATTAATCCAGAACGACAGCTGTGTAACTAAACTACAAAAAAATTGCAATACGCTAACTTCGGTCGCAGCGAAGCAATAATACACTTTAGAGTAGCATTTGTTATGACATAAAAGCGTTTAAAGGATTTTTAGCTTGATTTTGATCGACTAGTTCGTATGACAGCTATATGCTATAGTGGTCCGATCTGAACAATTTATTTGGAGATTGTAGCGTTGCCTTTGAAAATAATCCGTGCCAAATTTCGTCAAGATATCTCATCAAGTCAAAAAGTTTTCCATACAAGAACTTGATTTGGATCGGTCAGTTTGTATGACAGCTATATGCTATAGTTGTCCGATATCGCTGATTCTGACAAGTTAGCAGCTGCTTGAGTATAAGAAGACGCATGTTGAATTTCAGAACAATATCTCAAAAATTAAAGAACTAGTTCGCGTATAAACCGACAAATGGACCCTTGTTCAGGGTATACATATATATATAAATTTATTCACTGATATATATACTATACTACTATATATAAAGTATAAGCACACTACA